TACAAAAAAATCTCATTAACGTATACCCGCCTAAAAAATCTCAAGGTAATTTTACAGAATCTCATCGCATAAATATCGGCTTTTGGTTCCATACACATTAAAGACTGTACAAAAAACCCATTAATGTATACCAGTCTAAAAAATCTCATGGTAAAATCTCATTTCTTAGGTATTACTCTAACATATTTTTTTTAACAAAATTATGTAACATAATTTTTTTTCTTAAAAAAGTTAATTCGCTCTAAAGTATAATTGCTAATATGAATCTGACCTACAGTCAGAATTTTTTTAAAATTTAATTTTCACCTATCTAAATATTAATATTTTTTCAAATATTATTAACATCTATAATATTGGAGATATTTCAAACATTATTTGGACAAAGATTGAGGAGCTATGTATATATATATATATATATATATATATATATATATATATATATATACATACATATATGGAGGTTAAATGAAGAATTTTTAGACATATTTTCCTTACTGGTAGTTTAGAAAAATTTATGTAGCTTCAAACATTATTTGTGAATAATGTAGAATATTTTAGATGCTTTTATAGATGTTATAAAATATTTTAAGTATTTTTAATATTTATATATCACACTTAAAAAGAATAATTTGCCAAAATAAAAACATTAAATACACATTGTAAATATTAATAGAAACATTTTTCAGTGTTCATCTTTGATTTTGTCAAAACAAATCTCATAAAATCGGCGAAGTCAAAATTTGTACGTAAAGTCTATCTATACTAAAAAAAAGGTAGATTCAAAATTCTTTATCTAATTTCTTCTTTTCCTTATCTAATTCCTTCTTATTATCTGTATATAAATCTGTTCTGATTTTATTTAATCCTCTAATTATATTTGTATTATATCCCACCAAATCGGTTTAACAAAAAAAATCTCATAACATCCGATAAGTAAAAAAAAGTACGTAAAATTATTACTAAATAAAAAAGGCTTTATTTATAATCTAATTTATTATCTAATTGTATGGAAATCTGTTCTGATTTTATAGTACGTACTACAAATTGTGCACCCGTGTTCAGGAGCTACTTAACGAACAAGCTCTATGGAAATAACTCATTTAGTGCTTCTGTCCCGTGCATACGGTATGTATTTGTATTACACATACTAGAAAATTGTGTATCCCGTGCATCGCACAGACTCTGTACTAATAAATTACCTTAAAATTGTGCATCTCGTGCATCACTCGTATTCACATTTGGCCTATTACAGGTCACATATTATATATATCCCGTACATTTTTCTTTCTTCATTTATATAATTATAAAACTTGATAAATGACCTTAATTTTGTGCAACCCATCCGATGTCCGATCTGTAATAAAGACTACCGCACACTGCACACACAAAAATGAATAGCAATGGCATTTCCCATTGTCGATTTTCTAGGGTGAGGAAGGCGAAACCAGAAAAAAAAAAAAAAAAAAAAATAACAAGAACGGAATAAAAATTGAAATTCCTCTTCAATGGATGCTTTGGGTCTTCTGAAAATTCGCGTCCTATCAGAGGCAACAATCTTGCCGTTTGCGACACGATGACTAGCGAGCCCTACGTTGTTGTCGAATGCGGTTCGCAGGTCGGTCAATTTGTCTGATTTCCATCTGTTTATTGCCATTTTCGTGTTTCAAACAGGCCCTTTTCAGGGTTCATTCACCTATTGAAACGAAGTTATTAGCATTGTTTTTTCAGGTTTTTGGCTTTCAATTTTATCATAATCTGTAATCGATGTTTGTTCCTGGTTCGGATTAGAGGCTTCAACTTGAAATCTCCGTTTGCAGGGCCAAGATGATCTTTTTACATGGAAACCTTTTTTTCTGCCTTGTGCTAGTAGTCTACTATTTTGATTAAAGAATTGAATTAACTCTTCTAGATAATAATGTTATGTTTGTGTGATGATGACCAAGTATTTTCTAATTTTATGATTCCTTTCGGTTCCTTAAACTATGGCAGCGGATGCCTCTTTAGCTAGAAATTCTATAAGGAATGGCGAATTTGTTTATGGAATTTCTCGGTGAGTTGTAAACTGCCCATTTACCTTATGGGTTATCTGCAAGATGGAAGTAAGCAAGCGCTAACCTGTCAATATCAAGAACCGAGTCACAGTGTTCTGTAATTGCCATTCTGCAATTTCCTTCGTCTTCGTCACTGAGCTTTCAAACTCGAAAAAGAATAACGATATAGATCAAATTCAGTGTTTGTCTTAAAATTCACTTCTTTCATGGGGTTCTTCAGCCATATCATAGATTTCGCCACGTAATTCCTAGCTCAATTGCCTGAGATGAATTTTTTACATTTCTTATAGTTACATTATGGCAATATTTGAGTGGCTGATGAAAAGCTCGTCTATAGGAAGTTCAGCTCACCTACACTTTGACTGTCTATTGGGTTTCAAAACTATTACACAACAACCCTTGAAGGGTTCTTTTTCTTTGTTTTACCAGTACTCTTTGATTGTGCTCAAGTCGGACCTCATTTTTAAGTATGTTTATCGAACATAAAGAAAAGTATGAAGTGAGGGATGGAACAATATATGTATGTTTATATGTTTTCAATGATATGGGTTGAATATAGCGTTAACTCTTCTTTCAAATGCAAGTTACGAACACACACATTATGACTGCATAAATTGGTGCAGAGGGTGAAGACAGAAGTCAGAAGTCGTGCAGGACAACTGCAACCCTGTCTGGAATGAAGATTTGACCATTTATGTGAAGGACCTAAATGCCCCTATCAATATAGTAAGTTCCTCATATCCAACCCAATCGTTTTCACGTTTATAAATATTTCCCAAATTAATTATATTTTCTTTTCCTTTTCGACTTCGTGTATGACAAGGACACGTTCACATACGACGACAATATGGGAAACGCCAAAATCGACATAAAACCTATAGTAGAATGCATGAGGATGGGACTGGAAAGTTTCCCGGACGGGACTAAAGTTGAAAAGGTTCAGCCGAGCCGTGAGAACTGTTTGGCTGAGGAGAGCTGTGTACTGTGGAGTGAAGGAAAAATGATTCAGGACATGATTTTGAAGTTGAGAGATGCCGAGTGTGGGGAGGTTCTGGTTCAGATTGAGTGGCGTGATCTTCCAGGTAGCAAAGGCATTCTGGTTTGAGGATGGCCAGAGCCTCTTGAGACTTCCTTAGGTAAATGAAAATAATGCAAACTTATGGGCCATGATATATGCAGTTTTTCTTCTCAGTAATGGTGAATAAGATGGCGTTTCTTGTTGTAGACTTGAAGCAATTGTTGATAAATGTGATCTCGAATAGTTTGGAGGTGTTAGAAAAAAATAGTTGACATTGCTGAAAACTAGTACGAATCCCGGACGATGCACGGGGTAAGAGATATTCATT